ACCAAAATTTCACGGTTGTGAACTCATCATATTTTCCAATTTCATGTTTCACTCTTAGTCTGCCCTTGTTGGTGTTTTTGAAGAAATTGTTGACACTACATCGTCAACGGCTGAGGAGGAAGTCCCTGTTGAGAGATCTATCAGTGATGGTGAAGCAACGCTCGATATGATGCTGAATGCGATGGATTTCAAGGCAGTTGCTGAGAGTAGGAATAGGGCGCAGGTTCGATCCCTGCACCTTGCATTTTTCCGACATTTTTAGAGAAAGTATCGGCCGAGGGATGGGCATATCTTTACTCTGCTGCTGGTGATGAATTCTCCTACGCTGAAAATGAAGATGCATTTTCCAGGTGGGAATATTGTCGAATTTGGAATTTCAAAATTTTCTTTCAGGATCGCCCTCGTACCAAGAGTTCTAGTGGATGTTAGTAAAGTAGACTGCTCGAGCAGTGTACTGGGCCGTCACTTCGATGTCCCTTTTTATATGACTGCAGTAGCGATGGCGAAGTTATATAACGTTGACGGTGAGGCACCTGAGGGATAGTATTGGAAAATATGCACATGGTGAAACACGTGTGTTAATGAGGAAACTAGGGTGAATTATGGTTGCATTCCATCCGAGCTCGTATGAAGGGAAATTATTTCGCAGAATTTTTCCATACACATGTCGTTGAGCATGTGCATATGGGTGGTGGGGATCAGAAGGATGGAATCTGTAGTCGTTGCTGGCAAGCCTGTGCTTATTGCCACATCTATTAGTAGCTATGACGACCCTTTTATTGTATACTAGTACTGTATATTGCTATCGTGCTATGGCCTTTGTAATACGAAGAGGTATACATAGAGTTTTCGAGGAACAAAGGCATTCGGAGTGGCCTAACTCGTGAACTGTAACAGAGTGAATGTCAGGTGAGAAGTGCGTGGCTCGAGGTATAGGCAAGACTAAGGAGGCTGGTATCGATATGGCGTATATGATACCAACGCTGGCTAGTTGTGGTAATGGGGAGTTCTATGGCGGATGTATGTGTTTGCTTTCCTCAGCTGCACTAGTTCGAGTAGAAGTGTATAGAAACTGATAAGAATTCACCAAAAATTTTTGGAGGTATTAGCTCAAGTGTTACAGTTGCTCTCTAACTATACTCTTCCAATGACCATCGTCCTGGTCGTGTACTTCTTTTCTAATGTGTACTATTACTGCTACACCCTAAGTCAGCTAGCTGTATTTCTCTATTCTTGGTGGCAAATCCCGTAGATAACCCAACTGTGTTGACGGGAAAAGCACACGAGCAATAACGGCGTTACTGCTTTGGAGTAGAAGAGATAAAGTTCGGAAGACCATACTCATCCTGATTAGTTAAAA